TCGATCTTTGTTATTAAAAGCGGCAAAAATTTGAAAGGTCGCTTATTTCTATGGAAACCGAAAAACGAATGAAGCTAAATATTTCTGAATAATATTAACGTAATATTTTTAGACAAAATAAAAACGATTTCATTTTGATTAGATTTAAAAATATGTATACCTTTTCAGAAGGTCCGCTATGCCTTGGAATGCATATGCCAAAAATATCCATACAAATTTTTATCTCAATCGGATGAAGGTTGCGCGAACCCGTAGTGTAGGCTCAGAAGAATCTTAGTTTCTTATAAATAATTACTTTATTTTATATATAAATATATATATATATATATATATATATATATATATATATATATATATATATATATATATATATATATATATATATATATATATAAACGGATTTATTTTATGTTTTTTTTGTTAATATTGTATTGTCATCTAAATTAAATGTGTGCACCAAATTTCAGATCAATCTGACAACGGCAAGGTGCTTAAATTTCAATTTCTAATTTTGACCCAAATAAATTAACAAACAAATTCCGTACGGGTCGAGCTAAATAAAACCGTTTAAAAACAGCCAAGTGTGAGTCGGACTCGCGCACGAAGGGTTCCATAACTATCTATAAAAATGGCAAAAAATCATGTATAAAACAGACATCATTTTTTTGCCGGAGCCCCGCTTAATCTGTTTTTAGTACAGCGGCAATAGAAATACATCATCTGTGAAAATTGTCAAATTTATGAACTGTCTAACTATATGTAACTAGTGACAGAGTGACAGACAGAAAGACAGACAGACAGACAGGCAGGGCCGGTTTAGTGATAGGGGCCCGTTTTATCCTTTTGGCACGGAACCCTAACGCATTTCACAAACAATTCATTGTTTTGAATAAATCGATTCGTTCATATTTATACGCAAGCACTAACTGGCTTCTTACAACAAAACGGTGCCATTATAAACGAAATTGGCTGCCCGCGCCCACATCAATACTTCCGTACCAAATATGTTAGCCACAGACTCCGAGTTGTTCACGCATGCTGAACTCGAATGGGCACTTCTTGACGAGTCGTGAAACTTACCACGCGCAGCCTTGCCCGCCCGCATGTAACTGTCAGTCGATAGGTGTGAGTAAACAGGTCCGTTGAAGGCCACCTGAACAGTCAAATATACACTGTAGTATATAGTAGTACACATTATTCTGGAACAGTTTCGCTTTCAAGAGTAACGCTATGCCAAGCGGCCGCAGTGAAGCGTGTGCCGCCGTTTCCACAGCACAGTCAGTTGATTGAGCTATTTATATGATAATAAATTGCGTGTTATCTTAAATAGCTTCTTCATCTTCATCGCCGTTTGTTTATTAAATTAGATATAAACGATTTTAATGAAAGACCTCGTGATCAGCGATCGTTTTAGAATTAAGAACACAAACATCAACTTATAAACGCATCAAACTACATCTAAATGTTTATTTTTGTACTCGTCACATTACGTATCAAAGAAATTTTAGCGATTGTTGACGAATGTACTTTTCCCGCAGTAAATGTAGATATGTTTTAAATGAAGTTATTGGCATTATAACTATTTGAAAAATGACCAATTTTTTTTAAATAAATTGAAATGTCTTACAAAACCTTGGTAATAAATGTGATCACTTCGCCGTATACTATATTAAAAGAATATCCTATATATGGTTTGAGTTTTAAGACTAGACCATGTAAAATACAAGCTTTGTTTTAATATTATAAAGGTTTTTTTTCCATTCGCGAAAATATCCTTTTCTATTCATTTCATTCAGGTATAAGATCAGTAGCTCAAATTCTATTGGCACGTAGACATTGATTTCAGACCCAGCTTACATACTATAACAGCAGTGTCAAGTGAATTAATGACTATTTTGTTCCACCCTCATTCTGTATATGGCATGTATTTCAATTATTTTAAGAAATTGCTACGTACGTATATTCTTAGAAGTATAATCAGCAATAATGAAGTGTCACGCAAGGAACAGTTTGGACGACCTTATGTTGCTTACGGAAAAGCCTATTTTCAACATTCCCGCACCGCAATCAGACGACCTCGACGAAGTTAGCAAAGCCATCGCCTCGAAGCACAGGCTAATTCTATTTTTGAATTTATGAATCATCGCAGGTTATGAGTATTTGCAAGGACGTAGTTAGAGATAACTCTATATTTGGAACTATGAAATCGTGTACACGTCGCTCTTGATAAACGAAGCTTCCGTTTCATAGATTGAAGGAAATGTTAGTGTTACAATAAACCGGAATCACAACGGAATTACCCATGTGAACGTACCAGACAAGAAATAAGCTATTGACATTGCTTTGTCCGTACAGACATCGTTGTTCGTTTAAAAAAGCCCAGATGTACTATTTATTTAACGAATATTGTGAACTATCACACAGTTAAAATTGGCATAGTGAAAGCTTGTTGCAAGTTTTCTATGATGACGTACATGTGGTATAGTCAACGCATAATGTGATCATCACTATAGTTCTATTGCTATCTTGAAATACGAAATATTGTCCATTATACTTCGTAGCTGTAATAATACTACTTTCGGCGCGACGACAACGCAACGGAAACGCGTTACGGCGATGGCACCTTTATATAGCATCCGTTTTTAAATATTTACGTTGTATGTATCTAAACTATACATAAGTATTTAAATTAAATTATCATTAATTACTTATTTAAAATATAAAAATATGAATAAATAATCATAAAAAATAGAATCTCATTATAGAAATGATTATAATAATGTTGTAAAGTAAGGGCCTTTATATGTCCTACTACTGGGCAAAGGCAGTAGTACTCCTCTTTAAAGAGGGTATCGGGGCATAGTCAACTAGGCAACCGCACTGCGGATTGGCAGACTTCATATCTTTGGAAAAAGCTTTGTTATTATTTAGAAAATATGCAGCTTTCCTCACGATGTTTTTCCTTCACCGCCGAGCACTTGATAAGTCAGCACTTAGAATTGACAATTTGATTGGTGCTAGCACCGGAAATCGAACTCAGGTTACTGGAGTAAATTGAATTAACGGCGAGCGCCCCGACACTGAGCTATCACGGCTCAATGTATTATGTATACAGCGTGTCGTTAGCATCGCGACAATAAATGACCACACATATAGAGGAAAAGTTTTAAAAACTGTATTAAACATTTACATTCTTTAAACATCAATATTTACCGAGTTATAAAATTTTCCAAAACAAACAATTTTAGAACAGCCTTACGCATAAAACGGTAACGTAAAGTTCATTTGTACAGGTCACAAAGCACATGAATGGGTTAAATGAATTTGAAAGAGATACAACATACTGTTAGAAAGAGAGATTTGTAGTGTTGCGGCACCGAATGAATAAGTGTCTGAACGTATGAACCAGTCAGTTTTAGTCATATAGGCTATAACATACTGTTAGAATTGCGCGAGTTGTATAGGATGTTACAAATTTTGTTTCTTTTTTATTTAATTAGTTCGTTTGAAAAATGTATTTTTTTAATTATGGTTTTTTTTAACGTTTTATATTTTTTATGATTATTGGCAAGTAGCGTTAAACGTGTGTTAATTTATTGTCGCGGTTGTAACGACACGCTGTATTTTATTTACTAATATTTTTTTATTTTAAATTAATAACCAATTTAATTTATTTTTAAAGTGTATTAATAATAATTTGCTAATATTTATTTTTATTTTATAGGTTTTTAAAATTTTACTTCAACCGCATGTAAAGGTTACACACTTATTTCTTTACGGAGATTAACATATAAGTATTGTAAACGGCAAACGAATGACAATGTTTTAAATTATTAGCAACTAGCGACCAGCCCGGCTTCGCACGGGTGCAATGTTTTATACATATAAACTTTCCTCATGAATCACTCTATTTAGTAAAAAAAAAACCGCATCACGATCCATTGCGTAGTTTTAAAGATCTAAGCATACATAGGCACAGACAGACAACGGGACGACTTTGTTTTATACTATGTAGTGACTAGTGATCAAGCAAGTTGAGGTTGTATTTACGGCCGTATTCTACTCGTATCCTATTTAAATTCTATAGCTTCTGCTTTTGTATTTCCACTAAAAGTAAACTGTTCTATATCTGTTTATTTAATAATTATACATTTTCAGGAGTCTGCTCACTATACCGTACCATATCATGACCGTGCTATGAACGTATCAGGATCGGAAAGCAACACGATAGGCTCTACTATACCTAATAGAGAGTATCAATTGCGTATCATACCCGTACGTAACGCTTATAGTGATGGAGGTTTGGCTTATCACCTCCATTGACGCGTTTGTAGTTTACGTGCGGGGCAGACATGTCAGGATGAGCTATCGATTGCTCATTTGATAACATTTTTATTATATTTTGATAAGATGGCCATTAGAAAATTGGCAATTATAGCCATTATTTTAGACGGGAACGAAAGATAAAATATTAATATTAGATGATGCAGACATTAATGGGTTCCCGCCGCGTTACAAAGAAAAAACGAGGGAAAATACTGGACATTATTTTGTTACCTAGTTAATAACGGAAAAAAATATGTATAAATCCGTATGACGGCAATTCACTTTAATAAATTATTAAGAAAAATTGAAAGATACCAGAGAAAGCCTTACACCATGAGAAAAACTGGCGATCTGTCTACGATAAGCAAAGTACTAAACTGTTTACGTTTATTTATTTTTATTCTGTTTACTTATTAAATTTATTATAAATAATGTGGTGTCTGATCATTCTACTTGTCAGAATTTATCGGAATGGGCTAACTTGTCTGGGGATTTTTTTTGAAGTTTTAGTTTGTCTTTTACAGATTTAATGTAAATATTATAAAATTTAGTATTTTAAGAAGAATTTGACATTGGCGGAATTGTGATAACTCAGAAAACAAGCAATTAATAAAAAGAAGAAGAAGATGACGACTTGTCTGGTCATTTCAGTTGTTTGGACTTGTCGGAATTCACGTCGTACTGGTACTTGCCGACTGTGGGGATGTCTTGAAAGCATATGGAGTTGAGCTGGGTGGGGCTAACAGTTCTAGTTCCATTTCAGATACAATGGTAAATATTTTATTTTTTGCCAACGCTTGTACATACGGTGAAAATTTCTTAACAGTCTCAGAAATGTTTAAAAAAAAGCGATCTAATTCGTCGTGTCCTCGTGGTGCGTCAAGTTTGTTTTGATCATCGATCAATTTCGCCATTGATGTAGCACATGCTGATGCCTCTGTTTGGACTGCTTTTCTTTTTACTGCTTTTGGATTCTTGGTAGATTTTTTGTGTTGTGACTCATTTTTAGGAACTTCATCTAATATTCTAGTACCGTTAGCATCATTAACATTAGCAGGAGTATCGTCGATATCAATTTCGGTGTTGGGCTTCTCCGAAACGATGGAATCTCTCGCATGGTTTTCATCGGAGTTGTCGGACAGTTCATCGTCGCTTGCAATTTCAACGGAATCTTGAGTTTTTCTTTCCATGAAAAAGGGAACCACAAACGCCATTTCATTTTCATATTTCCATGGTTTAACGGTTTTGGCTGCTTGTTTACTTCTCCCTTTTTTTTTATTTAAAGCCCTTCTATATGCATCTCTAAGGCATTGCCATCGTTGTTTACAAGCAAGAGCTATAAAATAATAATTTCAATTAATTAATGTCATTGTTACATTTTACTGGATTCATTATAACATTCCACTGGTACTAAGCGATTAGTGTTTCGTTTATTACAATTGCTTTTAGTTTTCGTATGGGACTAAGCTCCGTGAGACGTGTCGTTATTGAGGGTTGTGAAGCTATAAAAGTGCAAGTTTTACGAGAAGTTATTGCCACGCAAACCAAAGAGCAATGCGAATTTTTTACTAAAAAGCTAGTTTGGAATTAGTGGAAGAATCTGCTAAGACCTTATCCATCGAAACAATCAATAACTGATCTTTGAGAACGCTGATTCAATTATCGTGTTTACCGAGCTCGACGTGTGATCAAACATGATTTTGGGATTTTAAGTTTTAATTTTCGAATTTATAATAGATGAATGCATTTAAAGCCAGAGTATGTGGAAAATATTATAATCCTGTATTTTGAATAATTTTATATGACGCGAGAATCTATAACCTTCTCCGAAGGAATAATCCTGTACGATTCAACAACCAGATTACTACTTTGACGTAAAGGGGTAATGCAATTTTTTTAGCTTTTGATGTTCGCAATCTGCAGTAAACTGATTTCTTGCAAACATCAGAAGAACAATTGGACCGGCTTTGTTAAAAATTCTATTCAAATTAGTTAATTAAAGAAATAATGGAAACGTTCATAGTTGTTACTTAATTCATGGTAGTGATAAAAATATTATACAGATACAAAGAAACTAAGAGGATTAGTTTTGTCGTTACAAGTAGGTATTCGCTACCATTGTCAATACTATATGTATTTGACCATTCTGTATCTGTGCTTAAATTCCGTAACAGTTGGTACTAATGACACATTGTTAAATATAAGAAAGTAAAAAAAACTTACCGGATTGTTTTAGTTGCTCCCCAATTTCCTTCCACACAATGTCTTTCTTGACACTATCCATATATTTCGGATGTTTCAAATTATATATAAATTCGTGTTTGCGAACCAATTCGATTAATTTTTCGTCGTCCATCTTACATGGAATGCTTACGCGTGTCTTCTTAAGCGGACGGTAACAAAATGGCAACTAGCAGGAGAAGAGCGGCAACGCGTTTGTAACGGTCATCATATGCGGTTAAAACTCCAATGCTCACCGTTTAGCCGCCTGCGCGCACTGGTTTGGCAACGTCTCGAGCCATGCACGGAGCGTATCGGCACCGGCAAACTACATAATATTTTCTCCGATAATTATTGACGCTTCGCTTCGTGCATGACACGCGACCGTGCTGGTCGGTGACGGAACGGTCTAGTGGGTATAGTCTCATACTTTTCAATACAAACAACACGGTCCTATTGCAGTCATAGTACGTTGTAATGAGCAGTCGCAGTAGTTTACTCAATTTTTGGTTTAGATGATATAAGCCGAAATCTTTACCAGTAGAAAAGACTAACCGCTTGAACAGTTCTAGAAGATCACCAGAAGGTTATTCATATAAGACCTGACATACGTCTTCTCTGATAACATGGTCAAAGGTTGAGATGCAATATTAATGCGCGCGTCTAACGAGGCGCCTTAAGTTCCGGTAATCGGCAAACATTTACTAATTCCCCCGCGTTTAAAACTTGTTTTATCATCAAATGATCAAATTAAATACCTTGCCAAACCCCGAATTAAACTTTTATATCGGTAACTGTGCAAGTTAAACTCTAGTCTACGACTATGACGTAAGTTGCGGGTCTCCTACGATGTCAAGTCTTTGTAAGTAGTCACCGCTAATCGGTCTATTCTGGGCGCAGCCATCGCGAAGGCGCTCCAGCTAGAACATTAACTCCTTGCATCCATTCAATGCCAGATATCTTCCGTATTTATTCAGTCCATCGCATTGAATTGTGTCCTGTGGATCATCTATAGGATACAATTGATTAAACCTCGTTTTCAATAAAAGGGCTTTTCGGAATAATGAAAGCAGACCCTTTATGCTTATCAGGCTTATGAGGGGCGATATTTTTATTGCAGACTTTGAATATTGAGATAGTTAAATGTATATTTAAATGCTGAAACTGATCCTTTTTGCCATTTACCTTGCGACATACCGCATTTTTTTACGAACCATCAAAAAGTGTTAGCCCAGACATTTTTATGGCCGGATAATCCGACGTATCAATATCAGTCAGACGTTAAAGGTTAAGATTTATACGATAGCATACATAACCGCATCAACGGTCACTTCCTTCATAAAAAAATACCGACAAAGATGATTGATTGTAATCACGATTTTGGTTAATTATAATTAAAATTGCAATCCTGGCGGTCATTAACTATGTTATGCACATGGCTCTGCTTCGAAACAATATTTTTTTTAAATTACTAAAGTAATCGAAACTAATTTCATAGAATCAGGATGATGAGCCTAATCAGGCTTTCAATTAAAGGCAATTGAACACCAATATCTTCAAGGAAAAAGCTGATTCTTTACTGAAAGTCCGGCAATGCGTTAGTAACCGCCCCAGTGTTGCCATTTTCGTTGGTAACGGCGATTATTTACTATCTAGTGAGTCGCAAATAAATAAAAAATCAAAAACTGGAAGCAATATAAAATATACAAAGCCTTTAGAATCGTTCGTATATAACGTATCATCCTTAGATTATGAACAAACAAAAATGGCATCCGGTTTTATATTACGACTATTTAATTTCGCAATAACATTTTCGAAACCAGCTTGCACTAAGGTCGAGACTGAGGTAAGGTCTTATATATCGCTTATCTGGACACATGTTAATAAAAAGAATATCAGGAGCAGCACATTAACTCAAATATTCATTGTAGTCTTATCTATGAATATAAGATTAGGATCAAAGAGCAATTACAGCGACTCTTTACATTGTTTTAATATGTTAATATATTAGTATGTTAAAATATTCCGCCAGTTTATTTGAGTAAAATTATATCGTACTCGTGGAGGATGTAATAAAAAATCTTCATACCATAAAGTGTAAATATTCTTCTCAGATTTGACAACTTTTATTGTTTCAAACTATTTTCATGTGCATTATTTCGTATTGTTCGAATTTTATTTCACATTTAAAATTCACAAATTGAAATTAATACAGTAGATCAAGCATTTTCAGTGGTCGAATTGTATAACCCGCTCCCTCTCAAGCAGCATTTATGCGAGATCAGATAAAACTAAATGAAATTTTTGAGAAAATTAATCTTTATCTCATTACCTAACATTCAAATCAACGAACTAAAGTGATAAAGGATACTACTAATATGCCAATCCTTACTGATCACATTCGTCTTGTGGTATATCTATTTACTTGCAATTGATTGGTCATATGACTTTAGCAGTTTTAAAGGACTTAAATAACACGGCACATAATATTACGTGTAGAGAACATAAAGTAAGCTAAATAATTGTTTGAAAAGACAGTATCAAACGTTTCGAAACATTAGGCTCAGTAACGAATTGATATTAGGAGACGCATTCGTTAAAATTTGTGCTTCAACTAGCGGCCATGAGGTAAGCGATGTCCTCTGTATTCTGTCTTTGTAGCAATGTTGCTTGCACGTATCCTGTTACGGCCAAATTATTCCAATCAAGTTCCAACCCTAGAATGTTACACGGTTCGATTGAAAATAATCAAGTGTTGCTACTTGTACTATAATCTAAGAGCGGAAAATTTGATAGTTTTTACGGGGACACTTAACCATATTTCCGCTTAACGATTGTTTGTTTAAATGACGTTTTGCGTTTAAGGGTAAGTATACAGCTCTTCCCGTTTATTATTTTTCTTTGTATTAACGATAGCTGTATAGAAGAGCTACCATGCAAGCAAGGATTCTAGTTGTGAGAAATTATTCTATTTTAGTAATAAGTCCAGTAATATAATCTAAGTAATATTGTATTATTTATTCTATTAATAAGTCTTTTATCCAGTTTAGAGACGTTTTCAAAATTTGTCATTTTTGCATTCATAGATATAGTGCAATCTGGTGCAATTAGATAAGACTCTCAAGTATTTATTTTCGATTCTTCATAGGGTGAAATTAAAAATAATAACACGTATATATTTGTATTGGGACTTTTGATACAGTAAAGACTGAGATATGATCCTACCACAACTTGGCCTTAAGTGAATGGTGAACCAATCACATCCAACAAAAAATATTCCATTGAGTATCACGTGAAACCATTAAAGGATACGTATTATAGTCTGGACGCAAAGAATGAGAAAAACAAAATGATATCCAAATCATGGTGTCGCTCTGCATCTTACATTTTTATCATCATTGTTATTTCACCCAGATTACATTTTTATATACATTGAATCATAGTTGAAAATCGATTCTAATTTAATAACATAGGTTTCGTATTTATTACAAGACTAGCTTTTCACCTGTGGCTCCACCCGCCTGTAATACATTTTATATCGTTCTTAAAAATTACCTACGGAACCCTTAGTGCGCGAGTCCGACTCGCAATTAGCCGATTTTTTTAAATTTGTATAAACTTAAAATCATCATCATTTTATAGACCATAATGTATAGTTAACTATAGTATAGCGTCGTCCAAAACAAACTGTAGCCATTTATATAGCGTTGCATCGCACAAATCTTTAAGGTGGTTCTTTGAGTTGATATAACTTTTTTTTATTAATGAACCGATTTAAATAAAATAGACACTAAATGTTAAGTGAAGCTTAATACAATGCATTAGTGAAAGTTGCACCCAAATCGGTAAAGCCGTTTCTGAGATTAGCTCACACTAATGCACAGATAAACCGAAAAAAAGTTTTTCTCAAATATCTTTCATGTACAGGCAACGATCAGTTACATTTTTATTATATGTATAGTTTTTCTTGAATCAAACGGTTTATTTAAATTGCAATATCGAACATTTAAGCTCGTTCTCGCTCGGAACAAATATTTCCCTTCATTTAGGCCGACACATTTTGATACACACCCTTTCAAAGCAATTAGCAAGCTACGCCGCCGAGCATGCAGACGATCGCTGTTCGACATCGAGTGAAATAACTATACAGACTATACAGACTAGGATTGTACCAGGGTGTGCTGTTTCCAAAGCATTCCACTAAAACCCACGGCAGTCGTTGCGGTTACAAAAGAATTTATTCGAATCAATAAAACTCGAGGCTGGACCGATAACGCTAAGCTATCATTAAGAAACGCGGACACGACAGATTGATAACATTAAACCTATATTTACATTAACCGCACAATGAAAATTCTTATGAGCAATTTTCTGTTGATACTTGCATTTTATTACTGGTGACCCTTGGCCTAATACAAAGGCGTATGAATATACACATGTTTGTCTTGTTATAATGACCATCTTATCACGGAAAATACTAGTTAGGATGTAACTAAGCTGAAGTAATCGGTAGAATACGGTTCGATTCCAATGAGTTTTCGTTTTACCTGTGTTTGACCTGTGTGGAATGTGTAGCGTTTAAACAACGTTATTGCACATATCGATGTATTTCCTATCTATATTTTATTGTAGTTGAGTGTAAGATTTTGCTGATGTTTTTGTTAGTTGAGTGAAAACAGCTAAGTGTTTCGCTGACGGAACTGTAAAATATTTCCCTTCATCACCAAATCAGCGAAATCGGAGTTACGGTTAAACGTTGGTTCAACGGGCCGACAACATTTTGATACGGAAAATAAAGTATAGACACCCTTTCAAAGCTGACTAATTAAAGCAAGCTACGCGCCGCCGAGCATGAAACGTCAAAATTTTACGAAATTCGCTAAGTTACCACCGGTTCGAAAGCACATCGAGTGAAATCAAACTTTTTTTAAAACAGACTATACAGGCTAGGAGCCTTGTAACAGTAACCCCACCATTGGGTGTGCTGATTTCCAATAGCATAATTAGGCTTTAGCCATACTAAATTTTTCGTTTAAATTCATCCCACGGCATGCGTCGTTGCCC